GAGAAACGCTTGCGAGTAGCGCGCCTCTCTGCCTGGAGCAGGTGTACCGTCCGTCTCGAGACTTCGACTCTGTTTCCAGCTGCGAGCGCGCACTCAGAGCAGAGAGAGCAGACTCACGAGCAGTTTCAGTTTGCAGGCTTCAGCGCTGTCTGGCCCGCTGCCCCTGTGTCCCGCAGACTCCGTCTGCACAGAGCTCAGCCTTCAGATGTGAGCGAGTGTGTGGGCTCTTGGCACCATCCTTCCATTGTTAGCAGACAAAATCCATCATTAAATAAAGGTCCACATATCTATTTAAACACCAGTGTGTTTTGTCTCGGTTTTTAATAAAGGGTTAGGGTATGTTCTTGCCTGAGGAGGATGCCGATGTGTCTGAATGTGGGCGATGACTGCAGTCGGAATGGCTGTGAAGTGAAGGGAGAGTCTAGGGCGGGACGGCCCACCGCGGCCAGAACACGTCCACCCCGTGTCCTCCTTCCGCTGGCACAGCTGCTGAACGAGCTGCAGGAGGCAAACTCCTCTGTCCATCTGCTTTTGCAGCTGCTGTAACTTGCTGTGCTTCTGGAGTAAATCAGCTTCCGTTTTAAAAGAACCTTGATAGAACCTTAATCCAGCCAGTCACTGGCACTGTGTGGCCGTGATTGATGTGGCAGAGGTGTTTATTTTTCTTGTTAAAAATACTTTCAATACTGCAATACTGCAGCCAACACATGGAAAAGTTCAGATTAGGTGTTTGGCAGGTAAACCGATTTTTCTTACAGCAAGGCTTCCTAGAAACAGATGCCAAGAGTTTCACCACCGGAAGGCATTTGTGAGTCTTGTGCAGGCTCACACACGGAGAAGACACAGCTCTGGAAGTACTGGTGCAGAAACAGCACCTGACGCAAGCACCGTTTTCCATCTGTCTGAGCAAGACCGCAAAATGCCAGCAAGTGGAGGTTTCTTGCTCCTTATTTTCTGAAGCCCATGTGTTTGTTTGGTGAAGAGCAAGGCAGAGACACAGGTGCTGGTAAAAAACAATGATTTCTGAAGTCGTCAGCAGCTTGATTTATACTGTACCTCTGCTTCCTTTAGAGGGAAGATATCAACATACCTTCTTGACCTTGTAGATCCTTTTCTTACATTTAAAAACCAGTCTGAGCTTTTCCACTTGAGAATGTTGGAACCCTGGGCTTGTCTGCCACACAGAGAAGAGGAACAGATGCCAGATCATGGCAACTGTAAACTGCTTATAAACAGTCCAGACTGACATGTTGTTGCGTTTGAGAACATTTGCCTTCTTAGACAGTCTCAGTAATCTTATTAATGGAACCTGTTATTATGTTCCTATGCTCTTATGCAGTGTTATGTTTTCTGAATTGTCTATGTACTATTTCAATCGACTGTTTGAGGGCTGCAGTATAATTTTACTCTCACAATCATAACAACAATCGGGTGTTGGCACTAAACGTGAATTCTAAGCACATGATTTTCGAGACCTCGGCTCTGTTTCTGCATTCCCCAGTGTCTACAGGAGTATTAGGGCCAGGGGCAGGATTCTCTCTGTCTCAAACACATGGGCTTTGGGCCAGTAGAAAGGCAGTGCTCTGTGTAGATTAGGAAGCAGGAGAGCCTGGCTTGTCTTTGCATTGCAACCAGTCAGGAGTGTTAATGATTCAGGGTCTGGCTCTGGTTTAAGGAATGAAAGGGAAAAGCAGCTTTGTACACGAGAGCAGTGCAGTGAAGGGGAGTGTTTTTTTCACTCCGGGGTTTAGCTTAGCAGGTTGGAGGTGGACTAGCTGCCCAGCACATCAGACAGCGGTTTTTGGAGAGGTGTAGGTAGAGTCCTCTGAAAGAGGAGCAGTGTGCTGTGTGCTAGTGATTGACTCCAGTTTCCACAAGCGCTGCAGCTGTGTGGGATTGCTGATGGACATTTTGAAAATCCTTTGTGCAAACAGACACTTGGAGCTTCATTTTAAAGCACAATCTCTTCCTTCCACTAGAGGACAAGCCAGGAAGAGCCCAGTTATGAGCAGCAGCAGCCCAGGGGTTGCAGGATTAAAAGGACAGTGTTTGAGTGAGGGTGAACTGGGGTGGACCGGACTGGAAGAGAATGAAAGATCTAGCTTGTGTTACAGGTAAAAGCCACAGGGAGAGTCTCTTACTCTGATCACCATTTATCTCTATTCTAATTCATCTAGAGAAGAACAAACATACATTCTGGGGCTTAAGGGAGTGTCCATCACTGACAGGCTGGAGGAACTGAGTCTCTTTAATCTGAAGGGTCAGTCCCACACTGACAGGCTGGAGGAACTGAGTCTTTTCTGTCTGATGGGAGTGTCCCAGACTGACAGGCTGGAGGAACTGAACCTTTTTCGTCTTTAACAGACTAGAATATGAGAGGAACCTGTTTTCAAGTATTTAAAGGCAAAGTCAGCCCAGAGGACGTCTTCAGTGAAACAAAACTCAGAGGACATGAGAGGAAACAGTGGAGTTGTGTTTAAAACCAGCACAGGAGGCTTTTCTCTACACTATGTTGTGGGAGTCTGGAACAAGGTACCAGCCGCCTCCAGAAACCACTGGATGAGATCTCTGGCTCAATTAGCTACTAACGAGCAAAAGGGACAGAATGGCTAACTGCTCTCCACTTAAAAAAGAAAAAGAATTTTCAAAATTATTCTACGGAACAAAAATGTCCTTACAGTGTCCAGTGCAGAATTACAAATCCCAGTCGATTCGCAGCAAATGTCCAGCAAATCTGAGCTTCCTTCAGCGCTGGGAGGAAGGGGTGACTCGTCTTGCACATCCTGCACTGACATGCGGCACGGCGGCTGTAGCAGAGCTCTGCACGAGCCATCAACACGTGCAGCTGTGAGAGTCGTGCGCTGGCTCTGCCCATCGAGAGCGAAAAATGGTCAATTTATTAATCACTGTGCTCATTATGTACTGTACCTTCCTCCAGTTGAGCTTTTAATATGCTGTCAGGGGAGTGCAAACAGTATTCAGACTATAGCTGTTTACATTGTGGTTTCTACAGTTTAACTAATGTCCAGTCCCCAGGAGCTGTGACCTTGAGCTGAGCTAATGCAACTGGAATTGTAACACGTCCACACCTGAAGAAGGCTGCACAGCTGAAACGTTGTGTCTCTTTTCAGCGTGGAATAAACCTTTACTTGTTCCTTTGCAGCCTGCGCTTGCTGACACAGCTCCCTTCTCCAGTCTTCAACTGGAATTGTAGCCAGTGTTGTTTGGCCTTGTGCTCTTGGCAGGGCCTGACACAGATGCTCATGCCGAAGACGATGCTACTCAGGGTGTCATTAATACTGCATTAAGAATCCTAAGAAATGCACGTGTGTCTGTACAGGGGGAGCCGACCTGTGAGTTCTGCCGGGTCAGCAGAGAGGAGCTGGAGCTGCAGCTGGGGGTCAGCCTGCCCGGGATATTTGGGAGTGAGTCACACCTGTACCTCCCTGTGCAGTGTCAGCAGTGCCACTGGTCTGCATGTCGGCACAGTCTCCCAATTCCCCAGTAAAAACTTAAACTTTTAAAATGTTGATATATCCCTCTTTGTATTAAGAGCTTGAATTGAAGAAACAGTGAGCCCCCAGGACCAGGAGCTGTCAGTGTGTTAGCTAAACTGTTAGAGACAGAAGGTTATTTCAGTCTTCTGAAATAAGACCAAATACAAATGTTCCCCTGTGGTGGTGAAGGGGAGTCCCATTACCTGTAAAGCACTTTGAATGGCATGTCCAGAAAAGCGCTAAATGTAAAATTATTATTATTGTCAGGAAAGATAATCCTGTGACACACGCCCCCTGCAGGTGTGTGTTGCTCACTACTGGAGCTCAGCATGAAGAGATGAAAACTCTCTCCTTCGACAGGCTGTGTTCCTCTGCCCTGTCACTCACTCCTGGGGCTGCACTCTCCCGCTGCCTGCCAGCACTACGTACACGCCCCCCACAACATCACCGTGGAGTTCATGCCCGACCGAGACCCCGCGCAAGACATCGTCACCGTCTCCTGGATGCCCAGCCAATACGGTAACTCATGGTGAGGTCAGAGGTCATTGAGACAGCCCAGTCTGGACTCGCTGAGGGGCAGATCTGACACTTCAGTCACCAGCTGCCTGGAAGGAACAATAGTGCTTTTCCATGGCTGCTCTTGACAGGCCGCACACATACAGAACACAGTAGTCATCTTTATACACACCAGCACAAATAGACTGCAGACAGCCATCGCATCGCTGTCATCAGCACAGCATGATTCTGTCAGACTGCAGCAAACCGTGTTTCGCTACTGCGTGTGTCCAGCACAAGCACTGCGAGGGGCAGAGACCACAGGGGCCCTTGATTGTAGGGGGTAAAGACCGCTGGCTCAGTGGACAGCAGCAGTTATGGGCTGTAGGGTTACAGACCACAGACGCAGTGGACTGTAGGGCTGAAGGGACTGCCGGGGTTATAGTCAACCGGGGTATCACCCTGGCATCACACAGCAGCAGACTAAGTTAATCTTATTTACCTGACTTTTACCTTGTAAGAAAACTGCCCTCAATTTAAGAAAATATACAAACAATAGTACCATTGTTCCAAAAGTGGTTAGCATAAACACTAGGTTCTAGAAGTCACAAAAACATCTAGGAAGAAATAAGATGACTCACACTCTGCAGCATGGCCTGGTGTCTCCTTACCTTTGAGGTCTCATCTACAGCCCCCCTCCCACTTGTGCTTTGTGCAGAGCAGTGCATGCTGGGGGCTGTAGTCACAGGGCGGCCTTCCTGTCTGTTCCAGGGATTGCCTTCCTCCGTGGGTTCCAAGTCTCCATTCGGACCCTGGGCGGGGCACTAGTGGGCTGCCAGCTCTTCCTTTTCCAGCGCAATCTCTCTCTGGAGGTCACGGACACCCAAAGGGTATGGACAGTTCCCCTAGTGTCGTGGAGCTGTTGCGATCAAGTGTTTGAAGCTTCACCTCAATGAGAATTATAAGACATGAACTGACAGGCCTGCTCTCTTCTTACTTGGCTGTATTGGCAACAGTGTAGGTCGTTATCATAACAAGGATGTGAGCAAATTGTTACTCATAACACACATACACAGAATAGTACTCCTGTTTATTTGCAAGATGCCTTTCGACCTGTGCTCAGCAGTGTGTGTGTGAAGGTCTGATGGTCATGCAGGTTTATCGGTCGGACCCGTTCCCAAACCTGGGCCTGCGATCTCAGTACATCGTGACAGTGATGGCGCTGCCCGTGCCAGAGCAGTGGGACAACTTCCACCACAGCCAGATCTTCAGCACCCGCAGTAAGTGTCAGAGCTCCAGAGCTTCAGGGCTCCCAGAGCTGCCAGAGCTTTCCAGGCTCCAGTGGAAAGAGGGAGAAGGGATGCAGGCTGGCAGGCTGGGAGTTAAAGGACAGTTATGGGCTGATGCCCCAGGCCTTCAGCCTCAGTGTTGCTCTGTCTGCTGTCCTTTTCTCGGTTACAGTCCTACCCCCCAACATTTACAGGTACTGTATCACCTGCAGTGTGTGTTAGTTTAAACATGAACACATTTTAGAGAAAAGAGTATCATTAATTACATTGTTTACAATACTAGGATAATTGTTCTTGGAAGGCACAAGGCACAGGAAACTTTACTCTCTGAAACATACCCTTCCTGGGCATAGCAGCTGTGCTCCACCTTGGAATCGAACCAGCAACCTCACAATACCTTTCTTTTCTCCTCCCAGCGTGCGCTGAGAAGATTGGATTAGAGCAGTGCCACAGGGGTAAGTCACTAACAAGGAGACTGTTTACAGTCCAAATTTCATTTGCTGTTTTTCCTTCAGCAAACAGCTTTGCTTCATTTCTTTCTGTCCTGAAATGAATGCATTTACAGCAATTTAACTCCATTGTGAAGAAAGGTTTTCCATTCCTCTGTTGCCTTTCCAACACAATTCTACTGTACATATTGCATTTCAGAAAAAAAGCATGACCACAGGTGTCGACAGAAGGAATAAACAGGAGTTTGTAAATAGACAGGAGGCAGCAGAACCAGGGCTTGCTTTCTGAGTCCATGTCGGCTCTGTGTGTCTTCAGACTGGTACCCCAGAGACATCACAGTAACCCAAGAGGGCAATGACATCATCGTGACCTTTAACCTGGCTCCCCCCAGCCTGGGCATCAACCGCTACTTCTCCTGGTGCTCCAGAGGCGGGACGAGGAACTACACAGAGATTGAGGTGGTGAGTGAGAGACTGAACCCCAACTTCCACGCAATCGCTTGTCCCCTGGCACAGCATCCCCTGGGTCCCCCCTGCCTCTCTTTCCTGAACTGGCTCTCCGCAACTGCCCAAACATTTCTGTGCCTGTCTTCGCAGAACTCCTTGGAGAACCAGACACACCACAGCTTCCATCTGAGGGGCCTGGACCCAGGGGCCAAGTACTCGTGTGAGGTAGGTCTTCAGTGAGACGACACAGGTAGCCCGACAGCCAAAACCAGGGGCACAGACTCTCCGAGGGGGTCTTTGGAGCCCTGCGCGTGTGACAGAGAGCGAAGGGGGTGGGATTGCATGAGCCTGTCTGAACCTGCACTTCTCTTCTCTTTTGTTCTCCTGTAAAGATGGCTGCAGACATGTCAGACGCCGTTCGGAAACGTTTTGCCTTCCAGGTTGGACACGTTCAACAAGGTAATTCATGGACTGGAGGCAACTGGCCTCTTCTCCCCCACCCATAGAAACACACCTAGTGTGCCCAGCCCCAGAATCTGAGCAGCCTTTGTAGAGGCCTAAAACCGTCTGGATGTGATAGAGAAGGAGGCAGAGGTGGTACTGGAACACCCTGATGTCCAGAGTGCCAAGGTACGATGTGTTCATCTGAGCCAACCGGTCCAGGGACATCCCTGGGATGCCTTCGGGAATCATCGCCATGTATCAGCTTCCACAGCATGGAGTCTTCTCTCCTCATCGTACCCGTCTCCTCCAGACCCTGAACAGACCCCCCCGTGTTAGAGCTTGCTGACCTCTGACCTCTGTGTCTCTCCCCTGCCCAGAGTCCTCCCCTGCCACCCCCAGCTCGGAGTCCCTCTTCCTGGTGCTGCTGCCCGTTTCCGCGGTGATTGCCCTGACCGGGAGCCTGGTGGTGCTCATCGACAGGCGGACGAGGAAGAGGAGGGTGAGGAAGAAAGCAGGTGAGTGACGGTATTTAGCCAGCGGAGGCCGCAGCGGGGCTGAGAGCTTCTGAGGGAACTTGCCTCGCAGAGTGAGTATCCCTGCACAAGCCACAAGCCACAGGCCAGCTCCTCAAACACACGCTCAGATCGCGGATCCCTGTTGTGGCACAATGGAACGCCATCAACGACGCTCAAACACTTCCAGTTACAATATTTTCCAGTTACTCGGATATAAGGTCAAGCGTTATTTGGGACAACGTGAATTAGGAAGACAGTAGCATCTGCCTGAAACTCACAATCCACTGCAAAAGTAAAACGGTGTGAATAGCTGAAAAACAGGCATACCACGTGTTCACGGGACAGCTCCTGGTGTAGCAGGAAGATGGGAGGAAGGAGAACACACTCCTGCTGCATGGTGGACAGGAGCCGGCCGACGGTCCCGGTTTGCTTCTTCCTCAGCTGCTTCCTCTCTCCCTCCAGGTGTGCTGGCGGAGTGTGTCGGGAGTGATCGAGCCGGCGGGATCACTCCCAGCCCCCTGCCCTGTCCACGCTGCCCCCCACAGCTCCTCATGTGCTACTCCAGCGCTGACGGCCCCGCCCACATCAACGCTGTCGTGCGATTGGCTGCCTTCCTTCAGCAGCACATGGCCATTCAGGTAAGGAGAGTGACATCACGCAGGGAGAGTGACATCACGCAGGGAGCTGTACGCCTCGCCAGCCCGAGTGCTTGTACTGCCTGTCTCTCTCCTCTCTAGAACATTTGGTCTTCTTTGTCTCAGTGCAAAGTTAAGATGAACAGAAGATGCGATATTGGACACCTGCAGGATTTGTTGACCTAACTGGTTAGGAATTGATCTCTGAATTTGGGGAGCTCTTATCCTGAGGAAATTTTGCTGAAGTTGTGTGTTGGGTTGTTGTTTCTCAGAGGGTACCTCAGAACAGTGATTGTGTAAATGGAATTGACTAATTGAATGTATTTCAGAACTGCATTTTATTTCAACTTGGAAGGCAATAATTGTATAAGAAGGCTCTTACATTCGCCCTTCAGTGACCGAAAACTGCCGATGACCTCTGCCTCATAATCACTCGTACCAAGTGTCTTTACCCCTCACACCGGAGATAACCTGGGCCTACAGACTTTCTTTTTTGCTGATTTGTGAGATAGATCAGATGTAACTGCTCAATTAGGACAGTTCATGGGCTCGAACTGCAGGTTTTAAAGTTCATGCAAAGCCAGCAGGAGCGTGATCTCCCAGGCCTGCAGTGTGTGGACGACAGGTCCCGCCAGCACTGCCTTGTCCTCTGTCCTCACTGGGCTTCCTGGCTGATGGTTGGTGTTGACGCCTGATGCGGAGTAACTGCATTAACTTCAGGGTTTGAAGTGAAAATGTACCGGAGCGGCAGTGCAGAGGGGGACTTGCCAGGAGTGTTCAGAAGCAGAGAGTGGCGTCAGCTGCAGTCATGCGCTCTGACAGCCTGTCCTGCCCTGAGCTGGCCTCTCTCCCGCAGGTGCACCTGGACCTCTGGGAGTCCCTGCGCCTGGCCGAGGAGGGCGTGATGAGCTGGCACTGCCGGGGCGTGCAGGAAAGCGACTTCGTGCTGGTGGTGTGCTCCCAGGGGCTCGGCCAGCTCCTGCAGGGGCGCGAGGAGGAGGAGGAGGAGGAGGAGGGAGTGTGGAAAGGGGACGTGTCGACTGCGGTCGTGTCTTTAATCGGAGAGGAGATCGGGCGCGCCAGCCTGCGAGGGCAGAGCCTGTCCAAGTACATCAGCGCCACCTTCGAGCATTCCCGGGAATTGGACATCCCGGGCGTCCTCAGGCTAGCTTCCCACTACCTCCTCCCGAGAGACCTGCCCCTGCTCTTCTCCCACCTGCACGGCGTGGAGCTCTGCGGCCCTGGCCAGCGGCTGCACGTGCAGCACGTCTCGGAAGAGGGGTACCTCACAGTGCCCGCTGGGGCCGCGCTGTGCCAGGCCATCGCTGAGGCTGGGGGGGTGCAGGCGGCGGCGGGACACACCCCGGACAGGAGGCTCTAGCTCTGCACTGCACAGGCAGCATCAGGGAGGCAGCCTGCAGGACCTGGCTAGACTTCTCCAGGACAGAAACCCACAAAGAACATCTTCCCAACGCCAGAAACAACCCAACTGGTTTCTACAAAACCAAACCAGCTCTCTGTGAACAGCTCAGGATCTCCAAGAGCACTGTGCTCAGCCTGGTGCCACAATCCCCAGGAGCAGAGCTCTGAGTATTGCACCAGCTGGGAGAAACACTACAGTATCCAAGAGACGGAGGGATACCCTGTTAGGAGGAAGAAGTAAAGGTTGATTCCAGGCTGAATAGAGAAGGAAGGAAACACGTTTCGGTTCTGGGGCCTTCTTCACACCCAAAGAAGGCTCCACAGCCGAAACGTTGTGTTTCTTTTCTTCCCTTTTCAGCCTGGAATCAACCTTTACTTGTTCCTTTGCAGGCTCCGCATGCTGACGCAGCTCCCTGCTTGAACTCCCCTGTTAGAAGCTTTTGTTTTATCTCCCGAGCTACAGCGCTGAGAAACCAGAATCACATGATGGGAAACCTGAGTAAGTGCAGCACAGCAGTGACACAGGTGAAGGTGCCTCAACACTCTGAACCCCCTGGGCCCCAACAGCACGAGGGGCTGGACTGGAAAGAACAGCTCTCAGGCTCAGGACTCTCTAAAACTCAGAGAGTCTGGAGGATGGATCAAACACTGAGCCGTTCTCTTAAGATCCTGATGAATCTTTCAGGAAGATCAGCCTCTTTCCTGCAGCTGTGAATGATATTTAGTCATCCACTTGAAACTCTTCAAAGGTCAATCTTTTTGACAGGATGATTCAGTCCAGTCACACGCGATATGACTGGGCACGACCCGACCACTTTCTGTTTTCACATTCACCAGTTCTCTCCACTGATGTTGAAATTGATCCAATCCTCTCCCACGTCTGCAGCTGGAAGCCAGTTTGAAAACCTTCTTTTTATTGAGGCTCACTAGCATGGCACCAGCCCAGCATCACAGTAAGAGCTCAGCCCCAGAACAGACTCCAACCAAAATGAAACACGCTTCCGAATGTCTTTTTAAATAGTTTATTGTGCTACTTCAGTCATATTTATATATTTACAGACATAATAAAACCTTTCTTCGAGAAATTTTTTTTGAAATGATTTAACAGTCACTTCTTTGGGTGTTCATTTTTAAATACCCCCCTCCCCCATCTTCCACCCTGTCGTTCACAAACACAGACAACACGTGAGACAGCTCAGCCCACCGACATCCCCCTGCTCCCTCGCGTCCAACGCTGAATGGCTACAACAGCCTTACTCATCGAAGAGCACCGGCAACTACTAAATTCATAAATCCCAGAAATAAAAGAACAGCTAACTGCAGAGAAGTGGAGGGGCTGGCCGACCTGTCAAAGGCCGACTGGGGGAACGGTGCAGAACAGGAAGTCAGGCATGGAGATGTGACCTTTGACCCAGAATAAAAGGCCTGCATCATGGCTTCTGGGCATCAGGTGGGCACACAGGACAAGGAGAGCATGGGCGTCTCCTGTAATCAAAGACGTTGACTATCCGAATCGCGAGCAGCTGTTTCACACAGACATGACCAACCAGTGTGGATCACAGCTGCGTTGGCCTTCAGGGGTTAGAGAATTACAAGACACAAACAGACGATTCCACTGCTCTGTAAACGAAGAAGATCTGATCAAAACCCTCACCGCACTGCAGGGCAGAAAATGATCAAAACCATTTTCAGCCTTTTACAGGGAGCTACAGTGCAACAGCTGACTCTTCTGCACATCCAGATATACAGAATCACATTAAAAAACTCATTAAAACTTGTTCTTAATCTGTCTGCTACAAACAGAACTGTTACATCTCCAGGGAAGGGAAACAGGACAGGAGTTTGGTTGACACTTTTCAGCAGCACCAAGCTAAACGAACAGCTTGCTCTCCTGACTGGAACCCCTGGGACCAACAAGTCTGACAAATTTGTTTTTCCATAAAAGATCAAATTGCCCACATTGCGTGGTGTGTAGTTAATGGACAGTAAAGAGTAATAAACTCTGGGGCCTCGCAGCTCATCCTGGTTCAATTAGGGAGCAGTGTGTATCAGGACTGGACTGACCATTTCGTGTCAGTGAATCTTTTCCTGAAAGACCAGGTATACATGTCCTCTGCACACGCTCCCTGTTACCAGCTGAGCTCAAGGTTACACTGAACTCCATGACTTTGCTTTAAACAAAGGATCTGTAGGTCTTACAACAATGCTTCAGACAGTTGTGTAAAACCACAACTTGACCAAACATGAAATTATAGTTAAAACCAGTCGGTAGAGAGAGAGGAGAGGAGTGGACTGAGATTTTCCAGACTCCTGGGTCATGGCCCAGTCAGGGCCTGAGCAGAGTTTCTCATGAGCCTGACCCGTGGACAGAAACTGACACTGACGTCACCTCACAGGGCTGCGAGAACGAGAGCAGAGAGATGCTGCTGGTGGCAGCGGGATGGAGTCCCGGGAGAAGAGTCTGGACAGCAGAACAAAGCTCTTCCTCTTTCTCGCCCTCTGTTCTTGTCCTGGCTGGGCAAGCCTACAGTCACACACAGCGCTCTCCGTCTCCAGCTAAGGTCTCCATCACACAGACACTCCCCGTGACGAGCTGCCCTACAGCAGGGAGCTGACAACGTACACGAGCACAGCCCAGGCTTCTTAATCTGTCTAACCCCTTCAAACGATAGTAGTTGAATTTCGCTGATCCAGCCCTCCTGACGATTATCAGCTGAAGAGTTGATCTGCAGCAGAGGAAGAGGGGAGTGAGGATCTGATCCACAGACTCTGCAGGCGTCTCCGAAAGCGGACCCCCTGAACATCTTGGAGCCCGGAGGGGTTCCGTCCTCAGGACCTACAGTGACAGACAAGAGCTGCACACCTGGTTCGCGGGCTGACATTGGATCCCTCGTCCTGACCACGGCCTGGGCCAGAACTCTGACCCTGGGGAAGTTTACAGAAGGCAGCTTGTTGCCTTTATAACACACGAGAAATATGTTTACATCTAGCTTGTTATCCATTTACAAAGTAGAATTCTGCAACCCCTAAACTAAGAAAACTGTACCGCTGAAATACTATTACACATCGACATAAATTCAGTTTGTACAGCTCAAAAGGGCAATGTGATGGATGAAAACTGGAAAACAAATGTTGAGACAGCTGCTTAAAAAAGTTATTTAAATTGGCATTGCTGAGGCATCAACCAAACACGAATGTCCCTTCATTACAATTTACAAGACTGAGAAGGCGCACAGCAGCTCTGATGAGAAATAGCTATGAGCTGCAGATCCTTCAGGGAAGACGGAAGCAGTAAGGATCCCACTTCCACTGAAGTATCTGGACGATTCCCAGTGACACTGCAGCTATCCAACAGAAAATAAACCTGACTGGAGGATTCCCAAAGTCTCCAGCTGTTGGATACACGGAGGTGTACAAAATTGGAATTTGTAAGCTCCTGCGGAGAGAGAGAGAGAGAGATTGCTCGAAAGGCGTACATTTCATATTAGTACTGCAAATGAAAGCGTCAGGGATGAGTTTTCAGGGGGAAGTGTCTAAGGACACATCGCCAGACCCTCCTTGTCACGTCAGAGAATCTAGCCGGAGCCC